GAGAGAGAGAGAGAGAGAGAGAGAGAGAGAGAGAGAGAGAGAGAGAGAGAGAGAGGTTGAGACAATTTTTAAATTTTTTTAAAACATTTTTCCTGAAAAGATCATGACCAAATCTCCGGACCCTCAAATTTTCAGACTTGTTTACGAGTTCTTCTGAGCGTGAAAAATCTTTGAAATAGGGGTACTTTTCTGGTTGGCCCACAAGTTGTCGTATGCCAAAAATGGAAAAAGTGATGAATTGGCGCGGCATTTATTTCATGGTCTAAACGATTTTATTTTATTTTGTTCATATTTTTCCTGGAAAGATCACGACCTGGCCTACCCGATATCAAATTTGCAAATCTTTTCTCCAATTATTCTGTGTACGAAAAATCACCAAAGTTGGCACTCGAAAATTGCAAGATTGGACTCGCCTGCGCCTTCCAGTCGAGAGGGAACGGGTGCCACCATGAGGGAACGGGTGCGCCCAGCACCGTGTCGATTTTTTCGACCAAAGGGCCTGCGTCCACGACGTTTCAGATTCGAAAATCAAGGCCCTAATGCCACGGGCAGCTACCGGTCCTGCACTTGCTTGAACTGCCGCCCCCCCTTAAATGCCTGTGCCTTTCATTTTACCATCCTTTCAACGACCAATGGGCCCGAATGAACGACCCGTATAACGAAGGAAAAGGATGACGACGAGGGGCTGCGAACTTGGTCTGCGCCAAGATTCTGAATGCATCTGGGCATCCTAGGGTCAGATGCACTCGAAATCTTGGCGGACGGAGAGTAATGCAACTGCCGTCTTCCGCCGAACACAACCCACCCTTAGTTTGGCTGTATCTGGCCGGAAATATAGCATGTATACATTCATTTTTAGCGTGCGTTATGTTCGGGGGAAGACGCTAGGCCCTCAGGGGCTAGGTCCCACTTGCACGAATTGAGAGATAGAGACCGTAGATAGCCGAGAGAGATCAACGGCCGAGATCTCCGAATCCGTGCAAGTGGGACCTTGCCCCAGGGTCGATAACAGCAATCTCTCCCCGTCGCAATGACCATTGGCGGGGTTGCCCGGTGAAGTGCAGGTAGGAAAAAAGGGATAAGAGGAGAACAAACGAGGAGTGGGTGTGCCACGATGATTCGTCGAAGTTTCGCCGACTGATCAGGAGAAGTAACCTTCGGTCACCGCAGCAGATACGTCAGGTAAGCGGCCCCCCGATCTGCTCCGTGCTCGTCCTTTTTTCGGTTTTTTTTTTTGGGAATTTTATATCGTAAAAAAAAAAAAATTGGGACCGTTTTTTCCTTTTTTCGTTTTTTTTCTTTGGGAATTTTATATCGTTAATTTTTTTTTGATTAAATTGGGACCATTTCTCGATTAATGCGTGTCATCGTTGCCCATGGGCCATGTTAATCTTCTATCTCTGTATGGATGGATGTCCCGCCGAAGAAGGACCGTCCTCCTCCTTTCCCTCGTCGCCTCCGATTCCTTTTTCCTCTCCTTAGCTTGGCCTCTCCAGTTCTTCCTTCCTCTGTGTGTCGAAACGAGAAAAGTACGAGTGCATCTTTCCCAGAAAGATGGTCAGATGCGTCCGTTACTATTCATAGTGATGGATGCATGTGGACACTCCGTGTGGGAACATGCAGTCGTCGTACTTTTTTTCTATTTCGACAGTGGTGTGTTGAGCCCCTTGGTCTTTCATGATCTCCTTCTCTTCACGCCGCTTTCTTCTGCCTCACTGATCTCTCCCTTCCTCTCTCTCCTTCGTCTACAGCGCCTCTCATCCCTTGTTACTCTCTCTCTTTTTTTTCTTTTTTTTTTTTCGAAAATTACTCGTTTACTACAAAGTCAAGGGTGGGTTACTCATTCGAATGAAAAATGCTATGTTTCTCAAAAAAAAAAAAAAAAAAAAAAAAAAAAAAAAAAACTCGTGCCGTGGACCTCGGCCCTTTGGCTAAGATTTTTTTTTTTTTTTTTTTTTTTTTAATGTGGCCCGATGGACCACGGATCAGATATTAAACTGATCAGAACAGATACTACACTTGATCTTAGCCAAAGATCAAGTGTAGTATCTGTTCTGATCAGTTTAATATCTGATCCGTGGTCCATCGGGCCACACTAAAAAAAATAAAATAAAATGAATAAAAATAAAATAAAAATGAAATAAAAATAAAATAAAAATAAAATAAAATAAATTCAACCCGTATGCCTCGTTACTCTCGCTTCCACTCTTTCCTCCTCCTCGAGTGTTCTCCTCTTCTCGAGTGTTCTCCTCTCCATGCCTGCTTACTCGAGTAGCGCACCCGACGAGTGCGCTGCTAGCAGCGCCAGTGCGTATCTGGCCACGATCATGGCCAGATGAGGAGAAGTAAACAAATCCATATAACGAAAAAGAATAATAATGACAACAACAATAATAATACAGTAGTAATGTGCCAAGAATAACAGAAGTTTAACGAAGCGATTCCGTATCCGCTGTTAAGGGGGTTAACGGCGATCACTGCCGTGTTCCGCCGAACATAACGCACCCTGAAAATGAATGTATACAAGCTATCTTTCCGGTTCGGTACAGCCACTGTCAGGGTGCGTTGTGTTCGGGGGAAGACGGTGGTCGCCTTGCCTTAAAGAAGGTGAAAGAGGCAATGGGCGGCGGGAGAGGAAGCCGACATACGGGAGCGGATGGAAAGAAGGGCTCATCAAGAACAAGGAATGAACGGAAGCGACCACGAAAGGAAACGGCTATGGCGGTTAAAGGGGAAGATGACGACTTGGTAGGGAAGGATCAGCCACCCGTCTTTCACACCAAGACATCGTACCGTTATTATAGCTGTATTGGGGGCGACTTTGAGTCTAGATACCTTATTAGTATATATATATAATGACCGTACACATTATAGCTGTATTGGGGGCAACTTTGAGTCTAGATACATTATATATAATGACCGTACAATGTATTCGGGTGAAGGCGATAACGGCGATGGCAGTTAGAAGGGAAGATGACGACTTGGTAGCGAAGGATCAACCACCCGTCTTTCACCCCACGACATCGTACCGTTATTATAGCTGTATTGGGGGCAACTTTGAGTCTAGATACATTATATAATGACCGTAGAATGTATTCGGGTGAAGGCGATAATGGCGATGGCGGGGTCAGAGGGGGGCGCTGGCGACTGGGTAGGGAACCATTTAACTACGGTCTATCGATCCCCCTATTGACTAGGCTACCAATCAATTAGACTATCAATTAGGCCATCAATTAGGCTATTAATTAGGCTATTAATTAGGGTATTAATTAGGGTATTAATTAGGCTATCAATTACGATCTTAAGTCTACTGTGCTAGATCTGGCTATGCACCCTCATGAAGAAGACCTGTAGTAGCATGTTCATACCTACCTGCCGAAGTCCGCGTGCAATTGGGCTTGCACGGTCTGCGTTAATCGGGGGGGGGTTAGCAGGGGGGGTAGGTAGGGGTCTCTGGGTAGCCCGAGTGTCTGCAACCGCTGCAATCGGGGGGGCTCAGCAGGGGGGTCAGGTAGGGGTCATCACGCCAAAATGGTGATCACTCTGCTTGGTCAGGTCACCCCGCAAAATGGTGATGGGTGATGGGTGGTTAACACTACCGGTAGGGTAGGAAAGGGGGGGGGAGGGGGCGGGGGGGGTTGTGCGGCAGGGCAAAATTTGAGAGGAAGGGTGGGTGGGGTCTTTAGAGGGGTTCATCTGGGCAACCGAATGGCCGATTACTGTGGGTGAAGAATGTCATCTGCCTACTACCGGTAGTATCCCAGCTCTACAACAACCTGGGCTTTTTTTTTTTTTTTTTTTGTAAAGGGAGGTGGAGGGGAAAGAAAGGAAACAACGGACGGTTATTACAGCTGTATGTATTTGGGGCAACTTTGAGTCTAGATACAGCAATAATGACCGTACTTTGTACTGCGGTGAAGACGGGTAGACGGTTCGAGTAGAGTCTTTCGCCCCTCCCCTATACTCGAGTCCAACGAACGATTTGCACTCCACCGTAGTACAGATGAGAGGAGAGCTTCCACGACGGTCTGTCTCCTTGTGGCCTGCCCTTGCTCAGCGGGATAGATTGTCATCCCCCAGGTTGCCGCAGCGGACAGAGAGAGGTGTCGTTGCAGGTAAGTCCCTCGAATCCCTCCCCTCTCCTCACCTTTCGTTCCTTCTCCTTCTTCTCCTCGTTCTTCTTGTTTCTTCATCGTTTCTACTCCCTCTTCCCATCGTCTCCTCCTCCTCCTTCCATTTCCTCTTCCTCCTCTTCCTCCTCTTCTTCTTCTTTACCGTCCCCTCGACCTTCCGCCTCTTCCTCCTCTTCCTCCTCCTCTCTTCTCCTCCTCTCTTCTCCTCCTCTCCCCTCCTTCCGATCACCTCCTACTCTGCCCGCCTTCGCTTCGATCGTCTCTCTTCTCCGCCCCCATCTGTCAACGGTCCCTTCTCCTCGTCCTTCCACTGGCTTCCTTCTCCGACGATCCTTGCCCTCTCAGTCTTTTTCCTCCTGTCATCAGTCGGGACCATTCACGCCGCCACCACTCCTTTCCCACGTATTTAGTCGTGATTTCATCCACAGGCTGATGAATCAGGCTGCACCTACGTCTCGATTCGATTCAATAGAAATGAAAACCAGACTCCAACGGAAGGCTCCGAGCAAAGGTGGCGGCGCACGCATAACAAGATTTTAGGGAGTTGTACTCTAGTAGCCGTATATGCCCCCCACCCCCATATATTCTCCTCTCTACATCTACATCCAACCCACTCACTCATCAAGAAAACTACATGATGACTTTGGGCGTCGCGCAAATGTGCAAAATGAGAATGAATCTTCCGCTAGAACATGGACAGATACACCGCCATATTTTTTGAGTTGTGCAACGAGGCCCATTGAGGGACGAAAATGACGATACTATCCCTTTTGGGCATTTGACTTCGACGTTTCTGGCCGCAATTTCAGCGTGTTTTCCCCCCCCCCCCAAAATCTTCATGTCCACCAATGGGCCTACCTCGCTCAGTTGGTACACCCAATGAACTGTTGAAATACAGACCCCTTCTTTTTTTTTTTTCCTGGGCCAGACCCGAGTTCGCATTCAGCAAAGATAAGATTAACAGAATAAAATATTTGTTGAGGATTCCCGGCCTCTCCTTTTGTGTGGTAATAAAGAACGAGCAGAGTTTCCTTGTTAAAAAGAAAAAAAAAAAATGAAATACTTTTGAATTACCTGGGAAAGACCGGTCAGCTCAATGGTCTTCATATCTCAAGGCCGTCGCCCTTTAAAAAAAAACGGAAAACGGATTTTTTTTTTTTTTTTTTTTTTTGGAAGAACGAAAGCGTCATGTCCCAACTGTCGGGAATCCAGTACAGCCCTTCTGACCATTTCCGTTCACAAAATGCCGAAATTGCGACCAGGAACGTTAAAGTTAAATGCCCAGACGAGTAAGTAGCTGTGACAATGCTAAATCGGTCAAAATCGGTCATGGAATGCACAACTTTTTTTTTTTTTTTTTTTTTTTTTTTTTGGTGTGTGTGTGGACCATTTCTTGATTTCTGTGGGTCATCCACGCACACACCCAAAAAAAAGTTGTGCATTCCATGACCGATTTGCGCAGGGGCCATGGTAATTTTGCTCCTCTGTATCTCTCCGAGGTTCCCTTTTTTTTTTTTCATTGTTTTGGTCATCCATACTTTTGACGGAGTGCACAATGAAAATACTGTATGATATATAATAATGATAAAAGTATGGATGACCAAAAAAATAAAAAATAAAAATAAAAAATCGTGAAAGGACATAAACACTTAATTAGCTGATTATGATATGATAGGTAATTAATGAGGAAAAAGAATCGTGAAAGATTGACGACGAAAAAAGTGAAAAAAGAATCGTGGGCCTCGCTCCACTACTCGACGAATGTGCAAAAAGAGAGTCTCCATTTGTTTTTGTGTCTTTTGTGAATGCGGTGAGTAGTAGAGCGAGCGCCGGCCCTACCGTCTTCCCCCGAACATAACGCACCCTGATAATGAATGTATACAGACTATCTTTCCGTCCAGACACAGTCAAAACGAGGGTGCGTTGTGTTCGGGGGAAGACGGTAATTCTGCGACACGAGAAATTAAAGGAAGTGACAAGATGATGATGATGATATGAGAGCATGACGCCAATTTATCTTAGAGCTCAGGACGCACGCTAGGATTTTTG